CAAGACATAGTTTGTGTTCCTCGAAATTTCAGATTCCTTTCTTTCAAACTGCAGGTTCCTTTCTTCTTTCTCGAAAACCTATGATCATTTTGTGTGTTGGATTCTTGTTCAGATCAATTTGCAGGTTTATTGAACAGCTATGATCAATCTGCAGGTTTTCGACAGTGCAGGTTCTTTCAAACTGCAGGTTTTCGACAGAAGAATATCAACCATAAATATTTCTGAAAACCTGCAAAACTYCAAATTTGACATAAAACCTGAGACTGCAGGTTTATTAAAACTTTCAAAACCTACAAGATTTCTTGTCTTCTTGTTCTGAAAACCTCAAATATTTCTTCTCTTCTTGTTCTATAAACCTTCAATATTTKTTCTCTTCTTGTTCTTTATCGAAACTGCAGGTTCTTAAAAACTGTAGGTTTTCAGTTTGTGTTGATTTATTTCACTTAAAATCATCGAAACACATGAATTGAAAAGCTTCTAATTAACTTTCAAACCATTAGTACCATCTTACCATCTCTGATTACATAAGAAACAAAACATTACATGCAACAAACACAAACTGAAAAACTCATTCTTGTCTCGTCGATTTCTCCAAATCTCGTCTTCCCTCTTTCAGAACCCTAATTTCCCAACTCTCGTCTTCTCTCTTTCTTTTTTTTTAGCAAAGCTCGACTTCTCTCCTCCCTCTCTGTTCGTGTTCGTGACCGACGAAGAAGAAGAAGTTCTTCGTAAATGAACCCTAATCCCAAATCTTTGAAACAACGTCGTTTTACACTGATTATTTACAAAAAAAAAATGACAAAATCAAATCAGAGTCAATAATGTGGTCAACGTTTTATTCTGTTAACGGCAAATTAACTCCGTCCTACGGGTTAGTAAATCTGTTTACGGTTTGTGTAAATCGGCAAAATGTTTGTAGATCATGTAGTAAATTCAAAATTAAGTGTAGTTCGTGTGGTTTTTCGCCGATGTTAATAGTTCATGGATAAATTGTCGGGAACCCAATATTTCATGGGGGAATTGGCCGTTTTTCCCTACTTCAGCAGGACAATAACTTGATTGATGGAGCTACATACAACAAATAGCCAGTGATTGCTAAAGCTTCACAAATTGAATAAGATCACTAGCACAAGCTCTGTTCTTGGATTTGCAATAACGATCGAAGTTTCGTGAATTAAAACGAAATTTTACGGGTTACGCCTCTAAGGCTCTTGGATTCTCGCCTATTCCCTAAACCCTAAATGGTGTCTCAATCTGAAAATCTCACTCTGTGATAGGTTGATATCACTACTCTGTTTCCATGCTTCGTTAAGGGCATAGCAGTAATCCTTTTGGCCCACTAGCCCAAAATGGATCCTTTTACACCCTACCAAAGCTTTCACTTTTTTGCACGTAAATTTGGAAACAACAAAATGGGCATTGAATTAAAGTGCGACCTCTCAGTACAGATACAATGGCACTTGCTTTAAGTGCTGCAAGATTCTCTGTGAACAAAATAAAGCTTAGGAGCAGCTCAAATACGAAACGGCCTATTTTAACGCAATTACTTGAAATTTGAAGCCAAATAATATCCCACAATCTGCTGGAGATCATCAGTTGCGAATGTCAGGAACAGGTAAGTCCTTCAACTGCAACTGTTTGTGCATCCATTGCCAGTTTTCTGGGGTTACTTCACCTCCTAGAGCACGGATGACTGATCCACCACTGCATGATCCTACCTTGCAACATTCTTCCAAAGACAATCCCTTTATTAATCCGTACAGAAACCCGCTTGCGAATAGGTCACCCGCTCCTGTGGCGTCAGTTGCTACTGACTCTCCTATGGCCAGCACTTGTACCACCTAATCAAGTTAGGAGATTAGAACACCAGTCAGTTATGAACTTTAGGATCCTTAGCCGGAACCTAACAAGACAAGTGAGATCTTGAAATAAAATAAAATGGTAAAGGACACTAAAGACCAAAGG